AAAACAAAAAGGGACGGAACATTCTATATTCTACTTCATGTGATTTGCAAAGTATAGTTGCAGTGTTGCGGATAGATAAGATCTTTCCACCCTTAACCAGAGGTCTTTGGTTTGAGCCCTACAAATAAATAAATAAAAAATCCTAATAGAAAACACTTTCCTCTTGAGTCTTACGTGGTGCGAATTCAAATTAGTCGGGGTTACAATATGAATATCGGACACCGACATACAAATGCTTAAAAGAACGCTGGAAAAGGAAGTGCTGAATATGTTGAACCAAGGTGTAAACCTTGAACAACATTCAAATCCAATAAACCAATGAATATATCTGATGGAAGCCGTGGAGCAACGATAAACTTATCGCCGGTCATGATTTCTAGCCGTGGAAGTAGTCATTAATGTTTGCATTAGAATAGACTATCTACATTCCGAAACATACAGAAATACGGAATACTTTGTGCACCGAGCTGTCCTTTAAAGTCAATGAATATAATTACCCTAATGTTTTGAAGAAAATTAAAGAACTCAAATTGACCAGTATTGGTACAAAATATAGCTGAACGTTCAATTCTGATACAGGTGACTCATCAGTAAGCAAAGAAACAAGAAAAAAGAATATAAAAAAGAAACGCATATATAGGGGACTCCACAATTGAGATTTATAGGAGTATCTTTTTAGCATGTGTACGAAAGTAGAAATTTTCTATAATATTTCCTTTTTATTATACTAATTATTGCCATATAATTCGTGTTGTTTATCTTCTAATTATGTGCTAATACCAAGTGGCCTTTCAAATTAAGCTGTTAATTTACACTTTTTCCCCTTTTAGATAAAGCAAGAATCTTCTTTTTCCCTACCCTATTAAATAGCTCCTTCTCTCTTTTTCTCTTCTCTTCTTTTGGCAGTGAGAGTCGGTGCTACTTTTCTTAGGTATGGGCATGTGTCAACCAATAAGAAATTAAAACTTAGGAGATTTGAGTTACTTCATGGAAAAGTTATCGATGTAACTAGGCTAATATTTGCTTTTTATTTAGTAGAAGATGGTAGTGAAAGGAGAAAAGACACTGCTTTTGTTTAAGCAAATAGACAAATAATGGTAAAGTTGCTTTGTGGTTGAAGTGCATAGCATGTGGTGAGAAAAATGAAAAGTTAAAAGAGGGCATGAGAAGAGAAGAAGCTAGGAAGTGCAAAGCTTATGACCCAACGATTAATAAACAACAATATAATCCAGTAAAATTTCATTAGTGAAGTCTCGAGAGGATAGAGTGTATGCAGATCTAACCCCTACCCCGGAAGGGTAGAAAGGCTGTTTCCGGGAGATCCTCGGCTTAACAGAAGAGGCAATAATATCAGAAAAGAACAAAGGAATAGATCCTTAACAACAAAAGAAATCAGAGAAATAATATCAGCATCGTAAGAGACAGCAAATAAGTGAAAGGGCAATAATACAATACTATGCAAAACAAAAAATAGTATTAACATAACATAAAACCAGACCCCAACCATTAATAAAGTGAGTGAAAATTACTAGAGATATAAAGTCCAAATTTCAATGAAAACAAAAAACGTAAAGGGAATTTTTTTGATGTGCCTTAATCTTATACGTTCAATACATATGTTAGTGAAAGGTGATAGGTAGTTGATGGAATAATTGAAGTGAGCGCAAGCTAACTCAAAAAGTAATGTTATCCGCACACAAAAAAAAAGCTAGGAAGGATTTTGAGAAAAGAGTTGTAAAGAGTAGTTTTAACACTCTAAAAAGTGTAAGGTGGTGAGAAAGTTGAAGGTTACGTACTTTCCTAGAAATATCAAAGTAGCAAGTTATATATTGAAGTTGAAGAGATCATACAATGTCCTAGAAATACTTTTGGATGTGACATAAGAAGAAAGGAAAAGTGGCTAACTAAGGAGATATTGTGAGGCAAATTTTTAAAAGCAAGAAGATTTGGCTGTTTACACAAATCTAGGTGAGGTCACCTCAAAGCAAATTTGGCAAGTACAAATTGAGATAGGAAAATAGGTTTGCTCTTGGCTTGTTGCTTAGCAATTTCTAAGGTAAGATTTGTGAAAAACTCTTCTTCCGTGTTTTTTGTATGCTTTGCACATTTATACTTATCAATTTCATAGTTGTAAAATCTTGTGTTGTCTAGTTCATCATCACACATTTGATAGACTAATGCTCATTCATATACAGAGATATATTTCTCCTAGTTTTACCTGTATTTTCTTATTCATATATCTTTATTATTACACGGGCCGTTCGCTTCCGTTGTCCTACCACCTTGTTGTTGCTATTGTTTGTTGCTTCATTTTTGTTGTTTCTTGAGCCGAGGTGTATCGGAAACAACCTCTCTATCTTCACAAGATAGGAATAAGGTCTCCATGCGTACACATTATCCTCCTCTCATCCCACTTATAGGGATTACATTTCGGTTTATTATTGTTGTTGTTGAATTAAAGTGTAATATGTCATAAGATCCTCTTACTCCACAAGACAGAGTTAATTATTATGTCAATTTGAGCAGTACCTAAATTTTCATACACTTCTTTATATATATCTCTTGACTAAACCTATCTCATATTGATAATTTTTCAGGTCACTACTGGGGTTTGATTCCAAATAGAAAGACAAAATGAAGAACAATGCAGCAATTAAGTACCTAAAGCATGTCATTTCAGTACTAACCACGATGGCCAAATCAAAATCAACAGCCATCAAAACCAAAACTGAAGCTCTAAAAACTAGGCTAGAAGTCCTATCATTGTTGAAATCCAAGAAACTCTCTTTTTCAGGCCTAGGAACTAAGGCCATTTCTCACAAAATCCATTCACTATTAGGCCATAAAGAAGAAGATCAAGAATCCCAAGATCATGAAAATGAAAACAACAAGGCCATTGTACTTTACAACAATGCCCCTGAAGCGAGTAAAGATTTTTTACACTGTCAATATAACGATCAGAATAATCAGGAGATACTACTATTGAGCAACGGTGAAAACTATGAGGATTATGATGATAAGTATCCGGATTTGACACATTCGTTGTTCGATGAAGAGGACGAATACTTAGGTGATCCAAATGCATCAGCTATAGACATGGTGAGGAGTTTCAAAGAGGAAGAAGGACAGAATTTCGTACTAGAAGACGAGATCGATAATATGGCTGATTTGTTTATCAGGAAATTTCATAAAAAGATGAGGTTGCAAAAGCTTGAATCTTTCAAAAGGTATCAAGCAATGCTACAAAGAGGTGCTTAAATTATACTAGTAATAAAGTTGTTCCATTTGCATCTGCAATATTGCATGCAACAGTCTTTCAAATAGCAAAATGGATCTCAGTTTTATTTCAACTCCACTTTTAGCTATCAAGCGTTTTCTTCATTATCTGTAGCTTCTTTTTTTTTTTTTTTTTTTTTCATTTTTCCTTGAATAAATTTTATGTCCTTTGTCCCTAATAGCCACACACACGCACGTGCGGGCACACACCAAAAAAACAAAAACAAAGAAGCTTGTGTACTAATTAGTTGGGAAAAAATAATTATTCTACACTGGAATAATAATGATTTCCTAGTCAGATAACAGATTAGTTTCTGAAATCCTGTTAATCCTATTGTCTATTTATTTTGGCATTTATATTGTTTTTTGTAGACTAGATTGCCTTGTATGATATCCGAAATAAGAAATGTGCACTTGAATAGTAAGACTCTCAAAGATTATTGAATTAGAGTTCATGAGTTATTGATTCTTTATCACCGTTACACAAAATTCTATAGATATAATAGCCATTATGTGAATTAGATAGTCATCTACTTAATTGTTTAAATTAAAAATAACTAGCACATATATATATAACTATGTATAATTAGTATGATCTATTTATACCAAAAAAGTAAAGAGTGAATCCGCCGACTATTTGTGTAAAAAAATCGCCCATCATTTTCGGGGAAAAAAAAAGAGAAGAGAAAAATATTCTCTATAGCCCCTCAAAATTTTGATAGCCCATGTTTTTTTCCATTGACACAAAACTGCCGATAGGCTATAAATGAATTTCTCTCAAAAAAGAAAAGAATGTGAGACCAGGTCGCCTAAAGCTGTTTGGGTCATCCAGTTGGAACTCATGAACCCATATTTCTTCTAGTGGACTAAATCTACCCAAACTTAGACAAATATTGGCCCAAATTTGGTGGACCGAATCAGCCAAACTGGTGAGTTCAAATTCCTTCTAGTGGACTTACAACCAAATTTAGACAGATTGGTCCTAATTTAGTGGACCCAGCAAATACAGTGATATTCTGCAATCTGCACGCACGGATTTAAAATTCAATCCGCCTTTATCACCAAATTGTGTGAACTCTCCTCTCTTTTTCAGTTTTTCAAAAGCATGGAGAGTTAGTTTGACGTTTAGACAGAGGTTGATATGTAAATTTATTTGTCACATTAGTCTCCCTTACAACTGAACTTTAGATCTTATTACAAATTTGACCATTTTGCACTTAATTACACATTCTAATTTTATAAAGATTATAATTTTATTTCCTCTGTGGACTCTGTTGGAAGTGTAGGATCAAAGAAGGGGTATTATCACTTAGCCCGCGCCATAAACTATTTACATCTGGTAGCCGAAAAAGTATATAAAATTTATATATTTTTGTATATAACAATGAATATATATACAGAAAATATACAAATTTTATATATTTTTCGGCTATTATTTTTATAGCGGATATACAGTGTCATTTTTCCATCAAAGAAATGACAATGTTTACACCCTTTTACAACATACTCGACAAAAGGCTAGCAGCCCTAAGGCTATGAAACGGAGAAAATATTCAGGTGTTTATATTAATCTTCATTAACTTACGTTGTAAAATGATGCATCGATATGAGGATATATATAATTAACTATCATAAAGTGATAAGAGTGTATGTAAAGGACATATACTAATTCGAGTTCGCGCCGAATACGCTTATTTTAATAGTAAAGTGCTCCCTACCAAGAACTTCTCCATTTTTAGGGCTCGAAATCAAAACCTCGTAATAGCCTAGGAGGTTCGCTGAAGATTTGAATGCTGAAATAGCATGAAAGGGAAAATCTGAGTAGACAAATAAGAGCAAAGCAAATCAAAGAGGGCAAAGTTGAAAATAAAAGTGAAGGAATGGAGAAATTTTTGTAGGAAACATTTTACCCCTAAGCGGGCCTACACGACACGAATCTTGATTAGTTAGGGCACCGGGTTTCGGATACCAGACGGTTAAACTAAAAAAGTTCAAAAATAGAGACAAAAGATATATATTAAGTACAGTAAAACACTGGAAAAAAAAATTGAAAAAAAGAGAGGAAAAAATGGAGTCACAAACTCAAAAAGCATAGGGGCCATAACAATAAGTGAATATATGTTCAGTACTTATCAACAACAAAAGAAAAAGGAGAGGNGGGTTGAGATAGCATCAATCACCTCCAAACTAGTTCTACAAAGTGAGTGATGAAATTTTCACTATAATAAGAAATATACATTGGAATATCTATAATTTAACCATAAGAAAAAATACAAGAAGAATTAGCTCTAAAATTTTTATCAAAGTAAATTGAGATATGCTTCTTACATGCATCTAAAAGGAATTATCTTTGAGAGGGAGATCATAAACTGGAGATGAGAGGAAGTTCCCTTCTTGCTCATCAGACTCAATCAACATCAGAACAACCTCGCGCATTGAAGGACGGTCAAATGGCGACATACTAGTACACATTAAAGCAACTTTTAGTACTGTGAGCATATGACTAACAGTAGTTTCATCTCCTAAATCCAATCGGCTATCAAGTATCCCTGACGTCAACGAATGGTCCCTAATATAATGCCTCGACCATGTCACGAGATCACCACCTTGTTCTAGGGGCTGTACTGGTGCTCTTCCGGTTAGCAACTCCAAAAGGACTACCCCGTAACTATAGATATCACACTTTTCTGTAACTTTCATGGTGTAAGCATATTCTGCAACGGAAAAGGCAAAACCATCAATTGAAAAGGAAGGAATGGTTTTACAACAGAAGGATGAAAAATAGGAGAAGAACATGAAAAGCTACATACATAGAGAAAAGTTAGAAGCATTTTTGCTTGTATGAGAAATTGACTTGTTTGTATACAATTTTAACGGTCAAACTTCAACAAGATATCCTATTCATCTATATTGCACAGATTCTCCAAAATGCTGCCGCTTCCTATGTCGAATTCTCCAAAAATACACTACTTTTGGAGTATCCGAAGAGTCCGAGCAACATAGCTATTCATATCAACAAAAAGAAGCAATACACTTTCAAAGCGAAGATACTGTTGAATATCTAAACTGCACATCAAAATGTCGGAACAAGAATGAGCAACATGTAGCAGTAAGATTCCAAAACTCGTCTTAAATATAGAGCTGTAGTCAGCTATTTTATGGAATCTCTTGGCATAGAACCATAAATAAAATGAGTACACAGATAAAAGTTGAAAGCATTTCCTTATTGTCTTCACACAATCAAAGAAAGAGATATAGTATACTTGTCTAACTATCTTTGTTCAACAAGAACATCCAACTCATATCAGAGTTTTGCCTAGAATAAAAAATAGAATAAGAAAAAGACAATACCGCCAAGGAATAACACAACTGACCAATTACTAGTTTAATCCCTCTGAGAATATGTATCAACTAGTCCCATAGTAGCTTGTGGAAGAAAATTTTCATGTAATACTACTTATAAGCGCATTAGAATTTGAATGAACATTTAAACTGCTGCAAACAGAAAATATATGGAGATTATAAGGATCTACCGATACGAGAAATAGAGATACATACCGGGGGCTATGTAGCCATATGAACCAGCAACTGCAGACATAGACTTAGATTGAGGCATATCCACAACTTTCGCCAAACCAAAATCACCAACGTGAGCTTCAAACTTGTCATCAAGCAGAATATTATTGGACTTTATATCACGGTGGATGATCCGTGGCTTGCAATCATGATGTAAGTAAGCAAGTCCTTGAGCAGCACCAACAGCCACCAAAAAGCGAGTCGGCCAGTCCAAGCTACACGATGCACTGTGAAGCAATTCGCCGAGGCTACCTCTGGCCATATACTCATAGAGAAGTAGATTAGAACCCTGATGATTGCAAAAGCCATATAGCTTTACGATGTTACGATGCCTAATCTTTCCTAGTGTTAAGATCTCAGCACGGTAGCTATTGTCAATGTTATTACCCTCTCTGTTAGAAGCAAGCTTCTTCACTGCAATTATTTGTCCTGACTGCATGACAGCCTTGTAAACTGTTCCAACAGCTCCTCTTCCAATAACATAACAATCATGAAAATTGCTTGTAGCCTCAACCAAGTCTTGGAAAGTAAATCCCTCCTTTGGAGGGAAATAAATGTCTGAATCTGGAGACGATACGTCTTTATCTTGGGTGGCAACCATCTCAACTGGATGCCTCTTCATATAGTATAATATTAGCACAATCAAGACAAGAGAAACTCCACCAACTATACCGGCAACAACAGTAACAATCTTTCCTCGAGGAGAATCTGCACTTTTGACTCGAGGAGGATTGGCGTCGTACGCTGGAGGTGCATTACATCCGCCTAGGGGCCCACCACAAAGACCTTTGTTTCCAGTGAAGCTGCTCACTTCCATGTTCTGAAAGAGCGGTATATCAGGCAATGGTCCAGTGAGGTTATTGTATGAGAAATCACAGCCCAACAGACTTGTCAAGTTCCCAAATGTGCTCGGTATTTCACCACTCAGATGATTGTTGTTGAGATAGAGGTACTCTAATAGGATAAGATTACCAAGGTTAGGTGGTATACTACCAGAGAGATTGTTGTTGCTAAGATCCATTGCAATCTGTAAGCCACTAAGATTACCCAACTCTGATGGTATTTCACCTGACAATAAATTCCCGCCCATCTGCAGCTCCGTCAAATGAGAGAGGCTCCCCAATGCTGCTGGTATCTTTCCAGAAAGCTTATTCTCTGAAAGCAAAAGGCGTTCTAGCTGCGACAAGCTACCGATGTCATCAGGTATAACATCCGTAAAGCTGTTCTTGCTGAGATCAAGCCGTTGTAGTCCCTTGCAGTTCAGAATGTCTGGAGGTATCGGTCCAGTGAGCAAATTAGCCGAGACATTGAAAGTCACAAGCTTGGTAAGATTTCCTATCTCCCTTGGCAGCTCGCTGAAACTATTGCCTGAGAGATCAAGCCTCTGCAACTTCTGGCAATATCCAATATCAGGAGGTATTGGACCAGTGAACTTGTTCTGCCCGAGTTCAACAGCAGACAGGTTTTCCAATTTGCACAACTCAGAAGGAAATGACCCCCCTAACCTGTTACCATTAAGACGCAGTTGAACCAATGAAACACAATTAAGAACACCAGATGGAACGCCTCCATGCAATTTATTTGACCCAAGATTCAGCAAAAAAAGATTGGAATTCCGACAAACGAATGGAGGAATTCTTCCTGTGAGGTGGTTGTTATTTAAATCAAGCACCCAAAGTTGACTATAAATGCCAAGACCTTGAGGAATAGTACCAGTTAAAG